TCCCCATGTAATCCCTACATAATCCTCTCATTTGGGTAGTAGTACTCGGGGGACTCCCTAAACACTAAACCTTAGAGGAATCCTTTAAATCCTTGTTTCAGGTGATTTGCTTGGTGGTGATGACTTCCAGCTGGTCCGAAAACTATGGACAAACTGCCAAGGACCCAATTAAGGTTACGGGGGTCTTATTTGTATAGTCTCCCTTAAGTATTGGGGTTTTGGTTGAGGGTTTTAGGGTTTAGCGGTTTAGGGGTTTAGGATTTAGGTTTTAGGGTTTAGGGCTTCCCAAAATTAGGGGTACCATCATGGGGGTCCCAAGAATAAGGATTATGGTATATTGGGCTCTATATTGGGATTTTATTATTTTGAGAAACTACTGTATACGGTTTCTACAGGAGTTAAACCTGGGATTGGGCGCGTCTGGGTCTTGTTTTAGGGATTGGATAGGGAATCATTCAGAGCTTAGATGGAGGTAACACGCTGCGCTTGGACCTCCAAATCATACCCCTACCCATCAGTGAGCGATTTCTCTTTTTGGTCCAGAATATCCTAAACAGCGACATGCTGAATTTCCCATATTTAGGGTTTAGGGTTTACATACGGTTCATTCCTGGATATCACTACCAAGCCCATCTCACTTTCGAAAAGACCGTTCCCCAGCCCACGAGCCCAGGAACTTCCCAGGCCCCAGGTCCCTCCAGCAGCCTCCTCCAACAGCCTTCAGGGGCCTCCGTGCCAGGTGCCCTCCAGAACCATCCCTCCTGCGATCACCAAGTCTAGGACTGTTTCAAGTCCCTTGTGGGCTGAGGCAGTGTGGAGGTGGGTGGTCCATGATCCATAGCCCAGCTGTTTTTTGTTGTTTCAGCTCCTGTAAGCTGCCTATGCAAGAGCTTTCCCGGACGAAGCCACAGCACTAGTAGCACCAGGAAGCAGCAATGGAGCAGAACAAAGAGCGCGGCTTCATGGGTGCTGTAAACTTGCTGCTTGGCTGCAGACTGCTGGTGGTTCATTGCAGAAAGGGGAAGAAAAGAAAAGGAGTTGCCTGCTAAGAAGCGGCTTGCTCACATTGGGGATTGAAGAAGCCTGGGATATTCCTGGCAAAAAGATAATGGACCATGATCCCTACATGTTCCCTGTGAAGCCGTATAAATATCATCTTTATAGGGCCCTTAAATCTATCCCACAATACGGGCTTGCTTCGGGTACTCGTACAACATGGCAACAATGTGTAAGATACCTGGAGCTTCATGGGATTTCGTAACTACTTATGGGATTTCGTAACTACTTATAACTGTACTGATAACCCTATTTATGAACAGGGTAACCCATTTAAAGCCCTAAACCTTGTGGAGAAAAGGCGCGACAAAAATAAAGAGCATCCAAGTACCCAAACAAGTTCTGGCCACAGGGTGCTGGCTCAACCGCTGATCTTTTTGTGTGGCATCGTGTGCTACCTGGGCAGCATGGTGTTTAGGGCTTTAGGGTTTAGGGATTAGGGTTTAGGATTTAGGGTTTAGGGTTCCATTGAGGTAATATCAGGGTTATATTGGGTTATATTGAGATACATAATGGAAAACAAAATGAAAATCATTATAGTATAGCCGGGTCATATAGGGATAATGAAAAATTCGATGGACACTACTATTTAGGGTTCAGGGTTAGGGATTGATGCGTGCAAATTTGTTGCGAAAGGGATTGGCCAGCAAACGCTCCTTGCGAGCGACCCCTCTCATTTTTTCTTGGCCCGTTATGCTTGGATCCTTCGGTTAACCCTTTCTTGACTTGAGGACTTGCAAAGAACTTGAAGCAGAAGGTCGGCAGCAATACCCTTGTGGGCAAACGTGTCACTCTGCAATCATGCCCCTGATGCACTGGGGTTGTTCTCAAAATTATAGGCCCCTTTTGGTCATAGGCTATATTGCGGCACCTGATATTTAGGGCTACCAAAATGGGACCCTAACTTTGGGACACGCTAAGCCCTATATACCCTGCATAATCTTTATAACCCTTTATAATCCCTAAAAACCACCCTTTAAAGGTACGCCTAATTCTGGGAACTACCCACTTGGACGAGCTAGACCCTGCAGAATTCCCAGGCTCTCTGTTCGAGTCCTCCATGTTCATCTTTGTCTTCAATTGGACGCCGGTGCTGATGAAGGAAGTGCCGGTGTGCATGGGGGCACTGCAACTGCTAGAGGGCTGAGGGTGAGGGGAACGGAAAAGAAAGCTATCATTAGATGTCATTCCTTTTTCATGTTCATTTCAATCTGTTTTTCGGTATTGTTGGATTAGAACTCTTGTCAGAAGATGTCAGATGGATCTACATTTCCTAGATGTAGAAAGCTGTATTTTTTCACAAGGGTTTTGGGGGACTCTGTTGGACCCTTACCCTAAACCCTAAAGCCTTTAAGGGACCGCGGTTCATACACATGCTCTATATTTGGGCTATAGACTGAATTCCTTTTTGGGGTCTGACCTTTGGGTCCCACCGTAAATCCTTTCTGTTCGTCGGTCTCTGGCTTCCGTAGAAAGTTTAGGGTTTAGCGTTTAGGACTTATAGTTTAATAGCACTTCTTCCTGAGGTCTCCCTTGAGGGGTTATGTAGCCAACAGTTGAGAATCTATTGAAAAGGAGACTTGCAAATTCGACGGAGGCTAGCGCCATCTACTGGTTTATGGGGATTGGGTAATGCAGGGGTTTTGCAATATTAGATTGAGATCTATACTTGTGATTTGGTAGCTCCAAGTTTTTGGGAGGACAGTGTGATGAAGGGGTTTAAAGCATGAGCAAGATTATGGTCCTAGATAGCTTATAGTTATAACGATGGCGAAGATTACCTGAAATAGACCACATAGACTTCAAAATGACATGGGTAGTTATTTAGGCACCTACAGTAGAGGGCAAGGTTGCAGCTGGAAGAACTGTAGCGAATTTCGGGATCATGCTTGGAGACGGCTTATGATTTATGGTTTAGGGTAAAGGCTCACTTCATGCAAAACACATAATCATGACACCATGTCATTTTTGTATGCTACGCATGCTGATCCCCGCAGTGGCCCACGTACGGCTATCATGCAGGATCCCAAACTAAGTCCTAAACGCTATAAGCTCTAATCCCACAACCCTAAATCCTAAATCCTGAGCCCTTAGTCCTAAACCCTAAATCCTAAATCCTAAGCCCTTAGTCCTAAACCTTAAATTCTAAACCCTAAATCCTAAACCCTAAATCCTAAACTCTAGTCCATGAAGCCCTTGAACCTCTTGGCAGCCTGGCGAGCCGGATCCACCCTTTGGCCACATCTTTGCGGGCTTCATGATCATGTGCATGCTAGGCTCAGTGGTTTAGGGTTTAGGGTTTAGGGTTTAGGCTAGGCTCAGTGCAGGGTGAAGGTTCTATTGGGCATATATGATCATATGTTGGGGATCTATTGGGATAATGGAAAATAAAGTGGAAGCGCCTATTTAGGGTTTAGGGGTGAGGGTTTAGGGTTTAGGGTTCAGGGATAAAGGATTGAGGGTTTGGGGCAAGGGGGGTGCAGGGTGAAGAGGCAAAGCGTGTGCCCCTAAACTTGTATCTGGTGTACTTGTTACACTGATGTTTTATAAGGGGTGCTTCAGGCTTTGAGGTTTGTTGGGGTGTAGGCTTCTGATGTTCAATTTTTTGAGATTTTCGGTGAATTTTCGGTGGATTTTGGGCATGTGAGGATATGGGAGATCCAATCGTTCATCCAATTTTGGGGCTCCGTGTGCGAACATATCTCCCTCATTGCAAGCTGACGTGGGTTGAGGTTTCCTAGGGCGTCTTGTAAGTTTTTATGTACATATATATATATATCGACACCCCCGCCATGATCCACCGACCCCCTGAAATCATTGTAAATACCGATCAAACCAAGCATTTTTGCATGATCGAATTTTGGACGCCCCAGTTTCGCATTGGATTTTCTTAATTTGCGTACATAACTAGTACCTTGTACATAGTTAATAATGCGAACTGAAACTATGGTCCCCCTTAAGTAGATAGAATATGGCTTTGGGTATTTTAAAATGAAATCCCCATATATCCTATATTCTATCTACTCAAGGGGGACTATAATATTGCAAGGATGGACTCCTACACTTCTGGTTTGCGATCGGATTCTGGTCCATATAGATGCTTTAGTAGACCTATGTAAGTTAAATCCGAAAATCCTGGACTTATGGTTTTGAATTGGCTTCTGGTCTATATGAATTCCTATCAAGTCTATTGAAATTCAGTATGAAAATCCTAGAATACTGGAGTTCTGGTTTTCAACTGGATTCTGGTTTGTATAAGTGCTTTATTAAATCTATGCGAGTTCAATATGAAAATCCTAAAGTCCTGGATTTCTGGTTGTCAAATTCCATTAAAGAAGAATGAAAATAGCACGGAAATACAGAAAGCACAACAAGCACCAACACCAAACAACAAACAAGTCATTTTTCTAGTAACTATGGTGGCTGCTGAAAAAGTTTTTTTGTTTTGCTAGGAAAAATTCATTTACTAAAGAAAAAATCAACCTTTTTTTCGGAAAAACATGTTTTCGGAGCCACTGCCTTCAATTAATCAACTTTTTCCTAGGAACAAGTTGGTTTTTCCATGAAAATCTCAAGGCCATGTATTGCAAACACCAACCTTTTCCTGGGAACACGTTTTTTTTCCCGAAGGCATGGGCTCCAAAAACCAATTCTTTCCTATGGAAAAGTTGGTTTTCCTTGAAAAAACAATTTCTTCCCAGGAAAACAAAGAAATTTTCAGCAGCCACCATAGTTCCTGAAAGGGTTTGTTTTTGTTTTTTGGTTTTCTTTAGGTTCTGGTGAGTCCGACAGAGAAGTGCCCTCAGCAGATGATTCCTATACTTGAAGGATTCCAGGATTTCCGTATTAAACCTAATCAATTTTTATAAGGGGTTCATATAGACCAGCATCCAATCCAAAACCAGGCATCCAGGATTCCAGGAATTTCGCATTGTGTTGATGGTTTCAATAAGGGAGTTGTAGAGACCAGAATCCATTCCAAAACCAGGAATCTAGGATTCACCGATTTTACAGTTAATAAGGGATGTATGTGGACCAGCACCGCATCCAAAATCAATAATCCAGGCCTCCAGGCTTCCCATATTAATGTATTCAATCAACGATGTCCATAATGCCTTTAATCAAATTTAGTTGGAATGAATTAAACTGAAATACCGTTCTTATGATTAAAAAAAGGCCTCCTCGGTGGATCATGGGGCGGGGGGGGGTGTGAGCATATGTATTTGTTATTATTCGTATTTTTATATTTACCGTTGCAAGAGCATCCAACGGACTCCCGGATTTTACACTCACTCCATGTGCCCCGATGACAGCCGCAGGCCACCAGGACATCAGCTATTTCAAACACCAGAAAGCTTAGAGCAGGTATGAGTGGGTTTCTCAAAAGTGGGGGTGCCATTTTAGGGGTCCTTATTATGAGGATTATAGTATTGGGGTCCCCCTGTTTAGGGCAGCTACCGTGATTGCCTACTACAAGCCGCTGTTACTAGCCTCAAGACTGAATCGTATAACGAACTAGCAGTTTTTGGCAACCCCTCAACCCCCCAAAATTTGGGCCCTTTTATGATCCGACTTAATTAGGGTCCTAATTTTGGAAGTTGGGCTTCTAAAATCAAATCCTCTTATTGATAACACACCCTGAGTCAAGTCCCCAGCTGGCTTTGGGTACTTTGCAGGTCCCCTCACAAGACCGACTGCGTAGGGCCGCGTGCGCTAAAAAAGTTATAGAAGCCTGAATACAGTAATTGTCAATATCGTACATAGAGCTTGGGATTCGATTAATGGAGAAAGAGATGAGAAAGAACATGTGAAACCAAAAGAAGCTGTTCTTTTTATTAGGTTTGTATAGGGATAGCTACAAACATCATGGCCCCAGATTCCCTGCATAATTCCTGTATAGGGTACCTCAAATGGACCTCGGTAATTATCTAGGCCTGTATAGAAGAGACATTGTTTGGAAGTCTGTAGTAGCGCTCATGCAGCGGCGTCCCGATGGGGACAAAGAGCGATGCCTGCTCTTGCAGATTTAAAGATGCAAATGCAGCACGCTGATACGGGAAGAAACTGGGATCAGGACCCCGTATCAGTTGCGTCAGGCATCGCAGAAAATATTTCCGTACCTGCAGGATTTGGGGAGCCAATGGGGCAAGGGCTCGAGAATGATCAAGATTTTGGGATCCTATTGCATGTAGCTTCCCACTAGCTCTGCGCTTTGTCTTTGTAGTGCGGGCTCGTGAGGCAGCCGCCTTTTCTCCCTTGCGATCCACTACATACCGAACGAGCGGATTGGCTGCTCGTCATGGCTATCAGAAGGCTGCTCTATACCAATTTGTGTGCTCCTAAACCAATACAGAGTAAGATTCTATCCTCATCCGGGTACAGTATGTACTAGAAATGCTATATTCGTTTCTGGTTCGACCACCGAAAACCACCCGAAAAGACGCAACGCACATGTGCATAGGTCTGACCAAATTATCGTAAAGCAGCAGGAACAGATCATAATAAGAAAAAAGAAAACGCACGAGCTGTACAGACAACAACTTATTACATTCATTCAACTGGAAAACGCCAAAAGCTGAGAATGCACGGGAAAATGAGCAACATTTGAACGAAAGCAACAAAGAGGACAGAAAACCCGCTTTCGGACACCAACCCCCAATAAATTCCAAAATCAAAGGTCCCTAGATGAAACTCTATGCAGCAATCCCCCTTGAATCCACATGCATCCCACGGCAATCCTCCAAAGGGGCCTCCCACAATCCGCATAGATGCTTAGGCTTAGGCTTGCGCAGGGTACCCCTTTTTCAAAACGCCACATGAGCTATAGCCTAAACTCCTAGTACCCCCCTTAACCCTTATAATGCTCCACTATACAATCCCCTATAATATACCCCCCCTTTAAGAAGTTTAATTAGGCCCTAAACCCTGAACCCTATATAATCCCCTGTATATTCCCCTTTCAGACTATAGCTCATATGCTATGAGCCGAGGAATGTACACTCTTTGCCTGGCAGCACTTTGCCATGCAAGCATCCTCGTGGTAAACTCTGAGGCAGTACATCTGCTACTGGGCTGCAGCTTGCATGCCTCAGAACTAATAAGGGGTTTCCCAAAATGAGGGATACCTTTGCGAAGGTCGAGGGTCCCTAATATTTGGATTATAAGATTTCGGGATCCCTATTGGAAACTACCAATCAGGTAGGGAAAAGCCCCCCAGTTCAAACCAGGTAAGTAGTATCCTGCAGTCAGTCCTAGTCAGCGTTGTGGATTGCCCTAAATATTCTTACAGCATGTGACGTCAGAAGCAGGGAAGTTCAGCCACAAAGGCAGGCACTATGGGCTTCCCCATGTTGCAGTTTTTTTTGTACATTGTGGGCTTAATATTGGCCCCAACATCAGCACTCATGTTTGGTGTCAACGGGCATTTGAGAAACAACGGTATTTCTAGTGATACTAGTACTATGAGTATTACGAAATTCTGTAGTTCAAGTACTAGGACTCCAATTTTCACCTAAACCCTAAACCGTAAACCCTAAACCCTCAGCAACGTTAGTTGGAATGGTACTTGTGCCGCCTCTATGCGCTACCTCGCAGCCCTTGTCTGTGCTGGTGTGCTGGTGCCCTTCCATTAGGGAACCCTTACAGGTACATAGGGGTATCATACATTGATATATATATATAGGGCTTTATGATTTCAAAAAAAGTAGGTGGCCCAAAGTTCTTGTTCGAAGCCCCGGAGATTCAATTTAGTTATGCTTACGAACAGGTCTCCTGACTTCCTACACTAGAGATTGTCGCTCAAGGATTCTTGACAGTGAATCAAGCAAGGACGGCGTTTTTCGTCTTCGAGATGTGCGTTGGCCTGTACTTCCCCATGATGGGCACCATGAAGGGCCAGATCGTTCCAGAGCCCATCCCTTAGCTTTGGCAATATTGCTACTGGTAATTAAAAAACCTGCATGACCTCAGTATACGAAAATGCTGCAACTTCCCAAGGTACCAGGGGCTTGTGATCAGGCATGATTTCTAGTATGAAGCAGAGCCAGAACTGCACAAATGGCGATGGCAACAAGCATGGCAATTCTAGTGTCTGTTGCAGAACCAACAACAACAAGCAGGCAGGCAATAGCAAGAGTGCTGTCAGTATTGTTCCGATTTGTCGACAAACTCCGGCATGATCCCAAGTAATCATAATGAAGCTCATGGGGCCTAGGTGTTGTTGTCATGAGGATTTGGTCAGGTGTCAGCATGGATGACATTAGCCAGAGTCACCGTGAGAATCTTGGTGATGCTGGTGATGATGAAGTTGCTTAGTCCCAGGTGGAACAGCTTCTCTGACTGTTCCGCGCATGCGCCCGCATCTAGAATCTTTCTGGAGATGACTGTTCATGTTAAGCCGAAGTCTAAGGCACCTAATATTTAGGGGTACCAAAATGGGACCCTAGCTTTGGGAACAAAACCCTAAACCCTATGGGCACCAAAATGGGACCCTAATTTTGGGAACTACGCATATGTATTGTACGTTGGTAGTAGCCCAATCGTTGCATCCTACCTAGCTGGGGCCGGGCACAGTCCAGTCAGACGTAGAATCTCTCTACGTGAGCTATAGTCTAAAGTCCTTAACAGGAGGTTATGTAGCATTTAGGGTTTAGGGTCGAAACTCCTTAAAGAGGCTATATAGGGCATTATTATAGGGGCTACTAAGGGGGATTCTGGGAGTTTAGACCTTAAATCCTAAAATCTAGGGTTATTACAAGGGGGATACCAGGAGTTTAGACCATGGTTCATGTGGTCCTGAGACAGAAGCCCTCTGGGAAACCCAGGATCTGAGCCTCACAAGGAGCGAGGACATCATATGGGTTTTAGCCTAAACTCCTTAAATGGATTAGATAAGGGAGTAAATAGGGGATTACATGGGGTTATCAAGGGGGATACGAGGAGTTTGGACTATGATTCATATGGGTTATTCTCAAAATTGTGGGCTTTTGGGTTATACATTAACTTACGGCACCACCCATTTTGGGGTACCAAAATGGGACCCAAATGTTGGAAACTTCCCGTATGTGGATAGTATGCTTTTCCTAAGGTCCAAGCGCAGCACCATCTACAACTTGTACCGCTTGCCTTTGAATGCAATTGTGGTCCTGACGTTGATCCTGAAGCTGGGTGAGGGTGTCTCCTTCACTGCAGAGACCTCAGAGACAGGGCTTGCTGCATGCAATTCTTAGAACCCTGAGTATTAGATTAGTGTCTATACCTACATACCCCCTAAATAACCCCGTCAAGATTTCTTGTTCAGGTCGATTTTTTTGAATTTGTTTTGTTTTTTTCGCCGCTTGTTCTGTCGTCAGAGTCAGCGTTGTTGTCGCTGCCGCTGCCGCTGCCGCTGCCGCTGCCGCTGCCGCTGCCGCTGCCGCTGCCGCCGCTGCCGCCGCCGCCGCCGCTGCTGCTGCTGCTGGTGTGGGATGGTGTGGTCAACGGTGGTAATGATGATGTTCGGATGGTGATGCTGGGCAGATTCTGATGGCACTGTGGTCAATCATGTAGTTTCCCAAAATAGGGTGACTTCAGTATAGACCCCAAAGTACTATAATCCTTAGTCTAGGGACCCCCCGCCCCCCCAAAATTTTTAGGAAACTCCCCAGAAGCAAGCCAAGAAGTTGGTTTGCCAGTGTTTCCTGGTACATGAGAGTTTTTGTTGGTTCTATGATAGTTATATGGTGGCTTCAGTAGGGAATCATCTTTCTGGAGTCGCCGCATTGAAGTTTCTCACCACAAGCCCACACAAATTCCAGGGAAATCCGAATGGGTGACTAGGCCAGAGAAGCGCGTGCTGCGGAACTTGCAGAAGCGCATCCGGTTCGTAGGAAACCTCGGCGGCGTTCACAGAATCACCCTTAGAATTGATGTTTAGGTCTTAGGGTTTAGGATTCAGAACTGATTGTCGCATCTCATAGAACCATCAGCTTCTGATAGCCCCTCTCTTCATGTTGCATAACTCCAATATCTTGGCATTGCCAGGCAACCACCGTTATGCTGTGCACGGCTGCTGTCGCACAGGCTTGGTCACTGCACCACTTCCACGGCTTAGATAGAGCAATTATTCGGAACAAGGTCCAGGGCTGTAAGTGTAATTCAGCAGAAGATGACAGTGGTGATAGCGGTGGTGGGGGGTGGTGGAGGTGGCAGTTGCAAAACTTTGGTTCTATTGGTGGCTGTGCAGTCAGCCATTTGTTTCTGCAACAGGCCCCCATTTTCTGGCTGCCAAAGTCAGCTTCGAAACCTAACCCCAACCCCTGATTAATTAACCCGCTCCCCTTAACAGGGACAATAATAGGGATCCTAGTATTTAGGCCCTTAAAAGGAGGGGGGTTTATTAATCATGAGTCTACATTAGATCGTGCTTTGAGAAGGTCTACACTCCACCCTTCGACCCGCAACCTCGACTGAAACTTTATACGAATCCTGGCATCTGAAAACCTGGATGGCGGCCAATATGATTCCTTGTTAACCCCTATAGTACTACAGTCCCCCTTAAGTAGATAGAATATGCATGGGGTATATGGGGATCTTATCATAATATACCCAAAGCCATATTCTATCTGCTTGAGGGGGACTATTTGTCTGCCACTATATTAGAAGTACGAAGTACGTATGTTCGGTAGTCTTGCTATAGTCCCCACCGCAGGTAATCTTGTGCTTTTCTGAATTTTGTTGCCCCGGGGAATATTGCAAGATTCGTTTTGCTAGACTCAGCAAACGAAAGAGCTACAGCCCCTATAAAACCACAGTTTCCATTTCATGTTCCATCTTCTTTTCTATTTGATTCTCCATTATTGGGGTAGTCACCCTTAAGATTACTCCAATGTCCTGATACTGTTAACTGCAGGCACGCATCATCAAACTCGGCGGCGCCCGCCCTGCCACTCTACCAGCTCCCCGTGCGAGAATTAGGGCTCAGATGGTTTTAGTAGATTATGATATAATATAGTATAATATAGTATAATATAGTATAATATAGTATAATATAGTATAATGTAGTATAATATAGCATAATGGGTGTAGGAGATAGGGTTCAGGGTTACGGCATCCGCTGTAAAATAGTGTTGTTGAGCCTTGTTGGGGTTGTCTATGGCCCAATGACAACAAGTCTTGCAGATTGGGTTGGAATCTGTTTTATCGCTCGTTAGCATATGGGGCACATTGAAGCTGACTGTTTTTGAGCGGTCTGGACCTGTTGAAGCTTCAACGTATAGGCAAACTTGCTTTTGTCGGTCCTTTTCACTCTAAATTGCCGGGTCGGATTCGAGAAGTTACCGCAACACCTAAACCCCAAAGAAGTGAGGCCCCTACGGATGAGGACCAGGAATTGGTGAACCAGATGGGGAAGCCAAATGAGGATCCGGAGAGCTAAGCTTTGTGGCCGGTGTATGACGCAGGGTGATTCTAGAGTCTAATCTAGAATGACCTATGTATAGGGAGAGGGTTTAGGGTTCAGGGTCTAGGGTTTAGGGTTTTCAAAGGGAATTCTATAGGGTTTAGGGATATTACCTTTATTCTGGAGAGTCAAATGGACAAGAAATTGGGAAATGAAATGGGAATCTGACTATATAGCGGGTTATGAGGAAGTTTGCCTAAATCGTTGCCAAGATCATGGTCCAAGGCTCCTGGTATAGAGTACCTCAAATAGACTTCGAAATAGTATTTGTAATCATTTAGGCTGCTACATTAGGTGGGCAGTCATAGGGCATGTGATTCGTTTCTCGTTCCAACATTCCTTGCCAAGTGCCACGATAAAATGGTGGATGTGCATTGGACTGAAATTGCACGGTGGTTGGGGCAGTGTATTGCACAACAAGGTACGATCACCTCTCTACCTGCAGCATTGCATCCTTCACATATCCTCGTTTTTGCAATAACTTTGGGCACCCTCCAAACCCGAGCCACCACCATCATTTCCTGATTGGGAAAGTTGCCTGCATTCTTGAAAGTTTCTGTCTGCACAATCGGAGCCCCATTTGAACGCAATTGTACTATAGTCCTTGTTGTGGGGATTCCCCAAATTTGTTATATTTCTTAAAATGGTTTGTTTTGATATGTTTTCAAACCTCCTTTTGATCAGGGCTTGTTTGCTTCAGGCAACATAGTCCGCTGCCTTAAACAAGGGCAATTAGGCAGCTAGGTATACGGCCTACAGGCCTCCTGACAAAACAATGTGTGGGGTGAGGACTACATTATCATGAAGAGGTGTGTTTCTTTCTGCGAGGAGTGTCACGTTTGACATATTTGAAATGAAGCTGGCTGTTTTTTGGATGCAGTGGCCCAGTAGTTATGCTATAATCAAAATAGAAAGTATTCTGCATGCACAATTTGTTGCCCTCTTGGGTAACAATCCCTTGAGGGTTGTAGTTTGTTGAGGAGGCCCACTGCGGCATAGCAGTGACCACCATGTTCTTTCTGTTTGTTTGGTAGTAGGGAATGGAAAACCAATTGGAGAAGCGCTTTGAAGATAGAATGGCGGTTTCTAGGGATATGCAGGGTTTAGGGTTTGGGGCTTATTTGCTGGTTATTAGTCGGGAATGGAGGAGTGGAAACGAAATTGAAACTATTTGGGATGGTCTAGGGGCGGCAATGCGGATCCATACTTCCATTTCCTACTAACAACCAGTATGTCTTTCTTTGAGCCGAAGCCCAAGCAAAATGGTCACGTAATCAGCCAGTCCATTCTCCAAACTCCCCAGAAGACAAGCTAGGGCCATCAAACAAAGGGGCGCCGTTGAATCAAACACTCCAAAACGGATGGTCATCGAAAGCCTGCCTCGTGATGTTGCACGAAATGTGCTTAATTCGCCGACGGACGCAGCCAGCGAAGTCCAGAGCGCTAGAATGCCACTACAGTCCTAGATTGA